AATGCTGCTGAAGCATCCTGCCTCCCTCACTGCTTAGGACTGGATCTCTCCTCAGCCTTCCTACTGTGCAAGGTCTCCAATAATCAGCATCCCTGGGAATGAGATGTTTGGCATTTCTTGAAAACTCACACCCTGAATTACAAGTCTACTTACGAATGGAAAAACCTATGTTTAAGGCTTGGTGGTGTAAGAGGGGTTGTCTTATTATTGGGCTACTTCCAGTCATTCTGTGTATCTTTTGAATTTTGGTGAAAGACAAGTTGCCTTATCTCAGAAAGAAATCTACTGAAGATTTTAGATTAGTTTTAATTTCAACATAGTAGTACCTTTATTCTGATTTTCCATGTCGTTGTAAAAAGAAAAGGATCTTGGGACAGTTAGGGGGATAGTTAGATGCAGCAAATCAATTTCCTTAATTTATTGATGAAGTTTGTAATTTATGCACTTTTGAGTTGCCGCTATTTTTCAATTAAGAATTTACTCCAGGCAGGGTTCAGTTACAAAACAGAAACTTCATGGAGCTTTGAATTAGATAACCTGAACCCACTGTTTTCTTCTAGTGCTTAAGTCCCCTTTTATCAAAGGCATAATTTGAGGGGGGGGGGGGGAAGTTACATCTAGTTTTTTGTGCCTCTTATTGCTTTGAGGGTGAAAATAATAAGAAGTATCCTTTACAATCAGGTGACGAATTGTGATTGAAAATAAACAGTAGTTCATTTTCATAGACAGCTAGGGCTTTGTTTTGCACGTTAATCTTTTTGCATAGCAAATGCAGGGGCAACAATGAGGAGGTGAGGCCCAGATACAGCCCCTAGAAACTGGTTCCTACCTCACACAGCAAGTGACATGTAAATGCAATACCTTTAAAATGAGAAAGGCAGCCTTTATTTCAGATTTTCTCATGAGTGGCTAAATAGCCAAGAGGTGTGTGGGAGAATGTCTACCTTACTCAGGGAATCCTGAGCCAGCCAGATGCACTTTTCATAAACTTTTTAGTAAACTGTCTGGCCTAGGTTTGTCTTATATTCCATGTCAGTGTTTTATTTATGATGACTCTGTTTGTTTTCTGCCTTAGAGTAAAACAATGAGGCTACTGTGTGATTAAAGAAAAGGTTTTTAAAAGCCTTTTAGTATTCTTGATGTTAAGATTTAGCAAGGATTTAAACAAAATAAAGGCAATATGTTTCATAACATTAAATGTATTTAAAAACAATTGATTTTTTCTGACCTTCTTCTTTGCATAATAATAAGCTAAAGTTTGAATATGATGCAAAATAGACTAATCTTCCTTATTTTCCTTATAAATATTCCTTATTTTATTTAAAACTATTCTAAAACTACAGCTTTCTGTAGTTCTAGCCATTCCCTGTCCTAGGAATCGTTTTGTTATTAACAGTGGTTGAACTTTACAGGTGTTTCAGCGAAAACAAGGTAAGACACTTTTCTAAAACACCCAGAGGTCAATTTCAGTTAAGATAGTACTATGCAAATTTGAGAATGGATCTGAATTCAAGAATTCGCCACCTTGCTTCTGCCCTTGGAAAAAACATGTTTGTCCTTGTATCCCTGCAAATTGGCTATGGGAAACTCTATGCAGCTGGTACCAATTTTCCTGAGATTTCCCAGGTAGATTTAAAGCATCAAGAAATGTGTTCCAAACCTCTGGTTATTCCAATTGAGTTGTCTGGGGCTTTCCCAATGCTAATTTTCAGCTTGGAGGTGAAGTAGGAAAGAAAGAAGAGGCTGATTGCACAAGGCCTAATCACATGAGGAGGTCTGCTTGAATGACATCAATCTGTCATCAGGATTTCTTATGTAAGTAAAGCTTGTAGAAAATCCCATTCTGTATCTGCTATTCCTGTTAACAAATTAGATGAGCTGAGAGCCAAAAAACATTATTTAACCCAATGAATGTTTATCTGGCAACTTGCAGCCTGTGCTGCAGGTTCACAGGCACGGAAAAACTGGCTCTTGCTTTTGGAAACACATTCATACACATCTCAGTGTGAAATCAGCTTAGGTGCCCTTGATAAGGTGCCCTTGTTTATCTGGATTTATCAACATTGTTTAGCTGGATTTATCAACATTATTAACATGGTTTCTAGGAAGGTGTCACTTGCTAGAGCAGCTTTAAGTAGCAAATTCCTTCTACCTATCCTGCTGGGAAGCTGCAGTCCTTTTGAATATGCCATCAAAACACTCCTACATGGTATGGGTTGCCAAAAAGAGAAGACAAAGCCCTGCCAGTCAGCACCTTGCTCTTGCAAGAGCTAATGGCAAGCCATAGCCTATGGAAGGATGTTTGGAAACTCACTGAAAGATGCTGATGTGGATTTATGGTAACTTCTGGACTGGCTGGTGTGCTCAACTGAACTGTGTTTGCCTTAGTATTTTCAAATAACACATTTTTAGGGAAAAATCTACAAGAGTTTTGTCTGCTAATTTGCTTATTAACTAAATCAATTAGGGAAGCAAATGTATGTGTCCAAATCTCCACTATGAAGTCCCACTAAGCATGTGAAATTGCACCTGTAAACCAGGAAATTAAAGACTAAAAATACCCAAGTGGCTTGGATTTTCTCAGCAGATAGAAAGGAGATTTACAGCTCCATTTGAAGATACTGGCTCTAAAGATGTATTCAGTATCTGGATGCAGAATGCATCTGCACATAAACGGAAGTTGCAGAGATCTGGGACATGAATAGACTCAAATCTGGAGGTGGTTATGTTCTCCTGGCCACAGCCTCATCTCACCTATTGCTTCAGCAAGTCTGTAAACTGACAGCTTTTCTTCCTACCTCAAAAGTTATAGCTGACTCTAAGGTGATGCTAATATGGAGCTGGGATTTCCTTTAAAATTAATTTATTTAACCAAATTTACTAAGATTTTAATGTCATATGTAGTTTTTAAGAAGAAGACTATGGGGGGGAAAAAAGTCAATTGACTCCAGATGTTTCAAATTTTGCAGTCTTAGAGAGTTGAGGGAAAATCTGTATGTTTTTTGATTTGGTACCATCAGCCTATAGAGTTCCTGGGTACATCTGCTAATTGATGCATTTGTGAATTTGTTTCTTTGGCTTCTGGGGTAAACAGAATCTCTCAATTTCTTTGTAGTATTTTATCTTAGAAGCCCACATTCATGGTTTCAACAATTGTTAGTGTTTGCCTGGTTACTGTTCAAGGGTTACGTGAGAATTAACTGGATGTTGCTGTTTCTCCACTTAGGCAAAAGGCTTGTCAGTATTTGCTGTGATTATGCAAAATCTATTTTATGTGAGATGACTGTATCAAAGTGGACTGGGTCTTGAAAAATGTAATGACTGGGACACAAAGATGGTAGGTAGCAGATTATTTTAATTATTATTATTTTTCATAATACTTTTGATGGGTAAAGTGCTTGAAAATAAGAATGGTTAGGTTAACCTTGAGATTAAAAAAAAAAAAAGTTAATTTTTAAGGAAAGAAACCACAAATATAAGGGTAAAAAATCACCGACAAGACAAAAAACAATGCAAGTGACAAAACCAAAACTGACTTTTTTTGGTGTCCTTAAACTCTTTTTCATTTCCCCCCTCCCCACCTTGGTCACTGGGACTCCTGTTAATTCCGTGAATTAGATACATACACTGCTCTTTGAAATGACTGTGTTGAAATAATGAAAGTAATTATTCCATGTTCTGATTTTTATGTATTATGTGAAAAAGCTACAAAGCAAATACCAGCCTTAGCATCAATTTCCTTACTGGTAAGGGTTGCAGTCGACATCCAGAACGGTTTTCTCCCATTATCCCGTCTCTGAATTCGGCATTCCAGACCTCTAGTGTCCTCTAGTGGTTCTCTGAAATTTGCCCACATCTTCTCCAATTATTTCTGTTTGTATAAACAGCATTATAGCAGACAAGAACCTTCACCCTAATCCTGCCAAAGCACAGGCCACGTTTGAAAGAGCACAATGTTGTGCAGCTGCCCTTAATATTTGTTAGTAATTAAACACAAAGGTGGTATGTGCTCTTGGATTGAGGTGTAAATCTTGAGGGTTGCTAGAATTCTGTTAAAAGAAATGCCAAAATAATGCACTGGATGCTCACAAAGAGCACAGAACTTGGGTCTTCTTGCCCTTACAAGTTCCCCAAACTCCAATCAAGATAGACAAATTTTTTGTTTGTTTGTTTGTTTTTCTTGTGTACCATAGGATGCGATGCAGGTGGTTGGTGTGGTTGGGGGTTTTTAAAGTTATAAATATTTTAAAATACAAGATGACTATTCTACATGCACTGTATGCACGGACACTTTTGAGTGCTTGAATCCCTTCTATTCTAGACAAGATATGCTAATGGTATCGAGAATGATTTAAACTGGTCTCACCTATCCTAGTGATCAGAGTAACAAAAGGGATCAAGGTGAAGGGATAATAGGCTGGCTGATGGGAAGGTGGGCTGTGTTGGGACCTTAATCAAGAGTCTGGGAAGTGGGAGAGAAAATATTGATGGGAAGCGATGCTGGCTTTAGTGGGGTGGCGTGGAGCTGGTTGGCAGAGGCAGCACGGCGGCTCTCTCTCCTGCTTAATCAACACCAAAACAAGAGGAAAGGTTTCCACAAGCCTATATACCACCCCGGTACGGGCCATACTTTGGTTTTGATAACTCTTTGACAAATCTCCTCTGCGGCCTTGGCTACGATCTAGTATTTCTCAGTTGGCCCCCGAGACCGCTTCAATGAAATTCCGCCTGTTTGCGCGGTCGGTGACATCCTGCTGGCGCTCTCTGAGAGACACACAGGCAGGTATCGCAGGAGCAGGGCCCGGGAGCGCTCTTCATCGTCTAAACTGGTCATACTTGAACCTAAGGAGGATTTATTAATTTTATTACTTTTAACGGCACGGTGTGTTACTTTCCGGGCAGAAAATGGCGAGGACCCCACAGGCTGAAGCGGCCGCGGCCGGGCGGTCGCTGCACAGCCCCTTCCGCTGCCGAGTCGCGCGGACCCGCCTCCTCAGGGCGGCCCGGCCCCGCCCGGCCCCTCATGTCGGCGCAGGCGGGGAAGCGCCGCGGCACCGGCGCCGCCGCTTCCCACCCCTTTCCTGCCTCTTCCCCCACCCGCCGGCTGCGCTCGGGCCTGTGATCGCCACGCCAAGGCCGCCGCGCGGTGAGGGGAGCGGGCGGCGGCGGGGCCGGGGTGGCCGGGGGTGCCCGGCGCCGCGGGAGCGCCCCGGGAGCAGCGAGCGGGGGCTGCGCCGCCGGGCTCGGCTGCGGGCGGGGTGGTGCCGGGGCAGCCCGTGGGCTCTGTGGGGCTTCCCCGCTGCAGATCCCAGGTGTCGGTGTTCCCGCATTAGCTCGGCTGGGCAGGAACTGCGTTTGAGCCTCCTCTCTCTCTCCCGCTGACTGAATAGGGAGCCTGCATCGACTGGGATCAGCCGCTGGAAGCTCCGGGTAGGTGGGATGAGCCCAGGCCTCCGTGCCATCCCAGCGTGCTGAACAGCGAGGAGTTAACACTGCGCTGACTCGGAGGTAAGAACACTGTGAAATCAGCACACCGCTACGGCTCCTGTGCATTTGCTGTCCTTCAGAGCATCTCAGTCCTTCCCCGTAACATGTAGCTTCTTGGTTTGTCCCTGGGTTATGGCATGCATGCAGCTGAGGCTTGAAAGAATTAAGAACTTGACCTAAACAGTTAAATACAAGGCTGACATTAAAACTGGTAGTGTTGGCTTTTAAAAGGAAACAGACAAGTGTGTAAATGTTGAGCCTCTGGTAAGAACTAGGACATAATGTTAGAATTACTTTTTTACATGCATTTCTTTGAAACAGATTCAATACTGGTGGAACAAAAGTGAGAAATAACTTGGATGTAGAAATACATTAACCAAGTTTGTCCTACAGTTGCTTGACCATAATGTCATTAAATCCTCCTTGTGAAAAGAGGTATTTTCCTTTACCTGGTGGGTGCACTGGCAGCATCTCAGTGCTGTAACTATGACTGCAGGAGGAGAATGGGGAATTAAAAAGTATATTGAAAGAGCCACTGTCAAATGAGTCTGTGTGAAACAGGTGCCAGTTGATCACACATCCCAGTTGTTTACAGGAGACTGTTTGGGAGGGCATAGAGATGGAGATGACTGTCAGCAACCACAACAGTAGAAGCTGAGCATTTTTATCCAAAGGTGGATCATCTTCCCCAGCTACCACAGTCCTTTTATGTGGTGTAGTCCCAGACTGCCAGTGCTGATTGTGGAGGACAGCACAGCTCTGGTCTAGATGGCTTGCTTTGAAGGGGACCTCCAGTCTTGTGTCTCAGGCAGTGGCTGAAATGAAGGCCCTTACTTAAGCAGGGACTGAAGTCTGTGACTATAAGATATGGTGTGTTGCATTCTGGCTTGAGATCTGGCTCTAGTTAAATGATCATTGCTTATCTTCAGCCCTTGTGGTGTTGAGGGCATGGGAGCTGCTCTGAAGTGGCTGGTGGTGTGGGCTTGGTGGAGCTGCCTCATGCTGACTGCCTTGAGTGCTCACTGAAATGCAGGAGTTAATATCCACATGGTGGAAGAGCTTTGTGGATGAGATCTGTGGCCTGTATCCAATGTAACTGTCCTTTGCTGTGCTGTTTCAGCACTTTTTAAAAACCAAAAGGACAAATTTTGGGTCAGAATGTTGCAGTCTCCACACTGTGCAGGTACCATACTTCAGAATGTTAAAATTGCCAAATTTGCCAAAGTCACCTGAACAGTAAATAGGAATTAGATTTTGGACAGGTTTGAAAGCTGTCTTAGGGTATAGCTGTGCTCTCAAAAAAAAATTGTCCTTAATATGTCTGGGCCCTTACTTCTCAGTCTCAGGAGATAGGTTTGTCAGATATGTGTCGTTTCCAAGGCAGTTTGTAGAAAGCTGAAATAAGATATGTGACCCAGAACATCAGTTCCAATCGCTACTATAAAAGTACACACAGGGTCTATTTTGGTCATCCTGTGTTTGGTGGCAGTCACCTGCCAGGTTCAGGAAGCACCAGTTCCCAATGTGCATAAAAAAGAAACAAGGTGCCCAGGGACAGCTTGTTCTTAATCCTGGTGCTTAGTTATCACCAACTTAACAATGAAAACATCCTTGTTAATGGCTGAAGGACTTAACAGCATAAATTACATTTTTTCTTACAATTCTATCGAACTGTGTAACTGCATGTTTTAATTAAATGGTGCAGTAATTCAGATCTTTGGGTGTTGGTTTCTTCAGTTAGCTGAAATACTTATTTCTTAAGGGTTTTCAATTAACATAGAAACAGTGCAGCATAAATGCCCATTTCTAACAATTCAGTGATCTATCTTCTTTTCAAAAAAACCCACTGATCAGATAGATACAAGTTGATCAGCTTGGAGCTCTTAATATAGAATGAAGTTGCTCTTTCAGTAAATCTAACTGTGGTGAACACAATAAGTAAGTCATGCATTTCCTCAGTGTGGAAATAATTGTGTTTGTATTTTGAATGCATTTATTGAAGATTTGCAGGTTTTTGTCTTCTGGCTGGTGTGTATTTTCCTTACCCAGGTGCTGTGATGTTCCACAGGCTTCTTAATGTTCAAAGTTATTCCTGTGTAGCATCACTTTTTTATTTTTCAGTTCCTTTAATGAAGAATTGAGTGGGGCAGGGAGGGTGTGCCAGCTGTGAAATTGCATTGGACATAACCAGCTCATTTCTTTTTGTAACCCTTCTAGTGTAAACAAATCACATTGAATCATGGCAGCAGACTCTATGGAAATTGATGATGCTTTGTATAGGTAAGATTGTCTGATTTTTAAGCATTGATTCTGACTTTTCAGAATCACTTACATTTACACTGTAGTAATGTTACAATTTCATTCATCCCTCAGCCTTTGCTGTGCTTCTTGGTCCTCATCATCAATATCTCTGTTACCCTTCAGACCTCAGGCTGCTGGATTTGAGGGGTTTTTGTAGTTTAAAAAAAAAAATTATTTTGGTTTAGTTTTGTTTTAATTTGTTAGCTGGGAATGTCTTGAGATCACTTGGCATGGTAATTGTTCAGAAAGTCTCTACTGGGACAAATGGTATCCCTGTAAAAGCATGGTGGGATGAAAAGCTTCTCTGTATATCAAAAAATAAAAAATAATTTAAAAAATGCTTGTATGCAGAACAAATAAGGCTTCTTTTTAATTCAGTGCAATACTTCTGGTGTTGTGTCACTTTACTTTTTGGCAGTAGCCTCATGAAAGTTGTTCTTTTCCTTGATGAAAAAGGTGATGTTTAGAATGGTATAAGTTTAATTGTAAAGTTGGCTGTTAGAACTCTCCCAGATTTCAGGATCTGACTACAAAAGCTGTGTCACCCTCTGTTTTGAGGCTTTCTGATACCAAATTCTTTTGCATGCTTGTGTCTTCAGTAGTTAATTCTAAAAACTTTGCTTATCCTGAAGAAGTTTTGCAGTGATTTAAAATTATGACTTTATCTTCTCTAAAACCTGGCACTGACAAAGTCTGATTAAATGCATTTCACTGTCTGCATTATGAGTGCAAATCTTATGTTTGACTGATAAACATTTCAATTTTTAAAAGTTTTTTAATGACTGGGAATTCTAGACTTGCTTTGATATGCTTTTGACTTTGTATCTTGTTTTGATCTGAATTTGTCTTTGCTGTAGTCGCCAGAGGTATGTTCTTGGAGACACAGCAATGCAGAAGATGGCTCAGTCCCATGTGTTCCTGAGTGGTATAGGTGGCCTTGGGGTGGAGATTGGTAAGTTAGGTAACATTTATTTAAAAAGACACAAGTGAGTGTAAACATACTGTCCCAGAATACTTGTAAACCTTAAATTTAAATATAATAAGCATGTCTGAACTGTCTGAGTGAGTTTATGTGTGCATGATGCATATTGCTAACATTGCAGATGCAGGAAAGATCCAGGACTTAAGTTCTCATTTTACTAGAACAACATTTCAAATTTTACTTGAAAATTTGCTTCCATGAGCCAGATTGCTTTACCCAAATCTTGTGTGCTGGGTGAAGGTTTAGGGGAGGTAATCCAAGTTACTCCTTCAGGCATCAGTATCAATGAATGTATTATAGGAATAGCTATAGCCCAAATATTTCCCATTTATGAAATGGGAGGATGTGTTGGAGAACAGGACTATTTGGTGAATATGCATTAACTGCCCTGATACAAGAGACTCCTTAGCAATTTCCCTTACTCCTAATGAGCAAGACTTGTTTTGGCTGTTTTGTGCCTGGGGTATTACTCTTTCAGTTGTCTCTAGTGGTTCTCTGCACCAGATGCCAGAACAGAGTCATGGGGTTTTGCAGTTTATTTTCATTACTATCTCTGTAATCACAACTGTGGGATGGACAGCTGACAAATGACCAATGCAGAGAGTCTTTTTAACCTTGCTTATGTTACTTTGCTTTGCAAGTAACCTGCAATAATCTCTCTCTCTGTTTTTGCTTTGTTCTTGTTTTTTCAGCCAAAAACATCATTCTGGCTGGGGTAAAGGTATGTAAAACAGTTCTGTTGTTGGGTATTCTTGGGTAAGCATGAGAAAAGGCAAAACACTACTAGCTAATTAATCTAAAATTTCTGAATCTGTTTCTTAGTAGAAGGGTTGCAAAATATTTGAGAACCTAGGGGTGAAAATTATTTTTGTCATCCATTAGAATCCTTCTGTGTAGACATTAGTTGGGTGTTTTAATCCAACAACTGCTTTTTTTTGCTGCTGGGATTAATTTTATTAGTAAGAAGCCATTTAAAATTCTTATTTCCCATAGGAAAAAAAAACCAAATGAGTTGTCCATTAATTTTCAGATCACAATTTCCCCTGTATCACAGTCTGGCAAAAATCATCCTTGAGATTTAAATGCTGTCTGTTATCACTGTAAACTGGGAGGAAAATGCTGAATGAAGTGCATATTGCAGATGTGTTTTGCTCTCTCAAACACTAAGAGTTTTCTTGGGAAAGAGGTTGGAAGAGCTTGTTCTTGTATGTGCTACAACTAAATCTGCAGTGTTAGTCCTCCAACATTTTATGGGGCTTAATCCATCCTTTTGGGTGCTGTGACCTTGTATATTTCTTCCAGCAAATGCTTTTTGACAAATTTTCTTAGGCTCTTACAGTTCATGACACCAAACACTGCACAAAATGGGATTTGGGGATCAACTTCTTCATCCATGAAGAGGATGTTACCAGTCAAAGGAACAGGTTAGTGAAGTCTTTGGAGTGAGAGAGGACTGAACCTGACAGCCTCATCAGCATCAAAAATAGCAGTTTGTTGTGCAAGAGCTGGTAGTACATATCAAATACATGTTAAACCCTTTCTCTGGAGTTGCTAGCTGTGAGTACAGTACCCTGGGACCGAGGTTCTGAGTCACAAGTGTTGCTGCTTATTATGCAAATTAAATAGTGGGGGCCAGCATACATTTCTTCCTTGGGCTTTCTCAGCCACCTGTACAATAGATAACAGCCATGACAGCAGACAATCCTGTGGGATATTGGACACAGCAGTTTTCCTCAGACCTGCTGGGAATTGAAATGTTAATGAGTTATTGGTTTTTGCCAGGAGACATTGTGAGGGTCTCTTATAGAGCATGTGTAGTATGAAATTCTGTATTGAGAATAGAATTTTGTAGATACGTAAAAAATTGAAAATTGCTTTTCTTTCAGGGCTGAGGCCACACTTCCTCGTATTGCAGAACTCAATCCATATGTCCATGTAGCAGCATCAACTGTGCCACTGGATGAAACCACAGATCTGTCTTTCCTAAAGCACTACCAGGTATGTCACTCTTAAAGTAGTTGTATGTGTATTCATGTATTTTATTCGGAGCATGCAACTTGGATTTTTTATGTAAGTAAATAGAATTAAGAGCTTTGAAGTATATTTTGAGATAGTGTAAATAAAACAGTGGGTCTTGTATTTAGACCGGTGAAGTGTTGTGCTTGTTTTTTTTTCCAAGACTGAAACAGTGGGTTTGTGTTCCCACCACTTTGTTAGTACACTTACTATAGAATTTGCTATGACAATAAATAGTTAAGTGGGGTCGCTGTATTCAAAAAGAAATTTTTTTTTCTTTGAAGGTGAAACTGTGACTTTTCTTTGCAGCTTGCAAAGATGTTTTATATATATTCTGTGTGCTGTATTCCAGGTGGCAGAAGCTCAGGCTATATATTTAGATCATTCATCTATATATGTGATGAAATATAAGTGCCTCTATGGTGGAGTGAGTGCACTTGCAGTTGTTCAGTCAGCTGTCTCTTGCCTGTGTGCATGGCTCAGTCTGAGTGGGGAGCCTTTACTGTGTGGCTGACATACAAGCACACCAAGTTTCTGGATGTCCCAGCTACAGCAGGCCATGTGCAACTGAATGGCTTGCAGTGCATGTGCCTTGGAACCCAGTACTGTCCTAGGCATTAAAGGAATGTGTGTAGAAATTCTGTGTCTGCATTTATGGCCGCAAATACTGGAAGCCTCTGCAGACTTCTTGGTGTGCACTGATGAGTATTATTTTGTTTGTTTGCTAGCTTTAATCCTAAAATTCAAAATCTACATTTTTGCTGAGATGTTAAATATTCTAATTGGGTTTTGAGCTCCACAGCTGCAGTTAAAAAAACCCCAAACAAACAAAAACCTGAGAATTAGCTGTTCCTGTTCCTACTCATTTTGTTTCCAGAGATGGTAACCAATCTGCTTTAATGAGAACTTCCTCAAGACTGCTTTTTCTTAAGTGTGGAGGATAGAAGTCAGGACACTTAAGTAACTTACTCTAGATAATAAGTTTTCCCGTGGCCTGAAGATACTGATTACTTTCAGTGTCTTAGAAGTATTTCTGTTCTTGTTCACAGTGTGTCATATTGACTGAAGTAAGTCTATTGCTGCAGAAGAAGATTAATGACTTCTGTCATGCTCAGCAGCCACCTATTAAGGTAATAGAAAAAATGCAATACATTAATAATCTGTACAGTGGGCATTCTGGACCTCCAGGGTGTTCTTTCCAAAAATGGAGAAAGCTGGTTATGAGGTATATAATTCAATGCAGATGGCATGTTGATGGAGCAGCAGGAGTTCTGGGAATACACTGCTGCTACTGGTATTATATGGATACCAGCACAGGTAACCACAGCTGGGTCCTTAATTAAAAAGCAGTCATGTTAAATAAATAGTTTTCACTGTTAACTCAGAATGGGTCTGGAGGAATGTGCTAAGACTGAAGGACATGCTGAGGCTGAATGCAAGAGAAGTAGAAATGGCAGCATTTCACTGTGTAGTGATGTTACTCCTGTATTGCGAATGGGCTCAGAAGTGCTCCTGCAGGTTCAAGGTCTGTTGTCGGTGCTGTGCTGTGTAGCGTGGCCTGAGTACACAACAGGTTTCCACTGTAGACTCAAACCTGCTGGCCTTCAACAGGCTCCAGTTTGAGGCATCATTTGGCTTGTGCTGTTCTAGGGATACTCATGATTTTTACTTTTTCTTGTAGTTCATCAGTGCAGATGTGTATGGAATATGTTCACGTTTGTTTTGTGACTTTGGTGATGAATTTGAAGTGCTGGATACAACAGGAGAGGAACCAAAGGAGATCTTCATTTCAAATATAACACAAGTAAGGGATAAAGGTCATTGTATTGCTTTAAGTGTGTTTAAAAGGACTCATTGTTGGCTCTTTGAGAGTGCCAGAGTGCTTCGCTTAAACAGCCTGCTAAGCAATTTAAAATTGGTGCTATAGGAGAAGCAAAGTTACTTTGGTTACTTTGTTCTTACCCTTGCCTCTTGGTTGTTACTTACTGTGTAACACATAATAATGGCTTTTTTGATTGGAGAGTGAGAGGAAGAAATGAGTCGATGTAGAAAGAAGAGGATGTAATTTTGGTGTGGTAATAGGGTAAGTCTTCCAAGGAAGCGTGAAAATAGACATGAAAAGAGTCCTTTTTATAAGAAACTGCAGCACTTACAGGCAGGCTACTGGAATAATCAAGGGAATGAAGAGCATATTTTGAAAAGAAATGTAAAGATTTGTTTGAACCTACCAAAGCAGAGGCAATGAGAGGGGATATTATTGCTAGTACTTGCAGTGTAGAATGTAAGGATGTCCATTTAATCTTGTATTATTGTTTTATAAAGGGAAATTACTATAGGTCCTTTTTTCAGTTCTGGAAGTCCAGACAGTAAGCTCACTCATCCAGCAGCAAGTCTTTTGTCCTATCTCCAGTCTAGATATAATAATAACCAATCTAGGAGGGGTTGTACAGCAAGTTGTTTTTGATCTGGATTAAAGCTTATAATATGAAGATTTGGGTAGCCTGCTCCTTGGTGCTTTTAAAAGGGAGTGGACGACTTGATTGTTCTCATTAATTACATAAGGAGTACATAGCTGAGTTTCATGGCTTCTGCTGATTATCTGCCAAGTGAAGGAATGAATATATATTGTATATATGCCTTATGTTTAATAATATGATACTTGAATTTACTTGTATCTTCTTTCACTCTGAAGTGTAAAACTGATGAGAATTAAAACTCAATGCCATAAAGTGCCTGTTCTTGTCCCATAGACAGGGTCGAGGTGGCACTGTGTCCCTTAATCAGAGCAGAATTTTCTCCAGTCAACTCCTTTACCATTGTTCATTGTCCACAGAGAATGTGGTCCACTGTAATTAAGTTCTGTGCTGCTTAACTGAAATCTTTCCTATACTGGGATCTCAGGAAGGGATGAGAGGAGACTTTACAGGCCAGGCTTGCTTGCAAATCCACCAGGCTGCAGCCTCAGGTGCAGCACAAGGTCTTGAGGAGCTGTGTTCAGACTGTAATGAGGTCTCTGTATGTGTGGCAGGTTGGCATCACATCCCATAACAGGATGAGGTATTGCCTGAGATTCCTGCAAATGTAAGCTTGTCTGTGACCTGCTGAAGATGTGTCTCTCCCATATGCTGTCCAGCTTTTTAAGGTTCCAAGACTTTAATGAATGAGTTTGGATGTCTTTTCTAAGGATATCAGACAGAAAGAAAGCATGGAGTAATAAGGACCATTTACAAGACTTGATTTTTTTCAATGCCTCTGCAAATGTCTTTGAACATGGGGACTATTTTTAGTTTGGAAAAAGGGGATAAATCTGCTACTAGTTTAGAACATAACAATGGATTTGACTGCTGAGAACTAGCAAATGCAGTTTGCTAACATATCGAGAACTCGAAACAGTGAAAATGAGAAAGTTTGTGTTGTAGGACTGAAAAAGTTGTCATAGGTAACTCTCTTGCTGTGACAGAAATGAGGTGTTAAAAGTATTAGAGACTGGAGTTTCAGCAGAATAAAAGCTATGTGCCTGCAATACAACGTGACCCCCTTTGCATGAGAGACTTTCCTCCTTGCTGATTGCCATTTTTTATTTCAGTCAAATCCTGGTATTGTCACTTGCCTTGAAAGTCATCCACACAGGCTTGAAACAGGACAGTTCTTAACCTTTCGGGAAGTTAATGGGATGTCGTGCTTGAATGGATCCACACACCAAATAACAGGTAAACTGCTGCTGACTCATTTGCAAGGTACTTATTTTCTGGCCTGATTTAGCCACTGCAGTGTTAGTTACCATTGTCAGAGGAGTGCTGGGTTGTGCAGATTTCCAGTAAGTTTGCACACAAAAATTGCTTTTTGGTGCAAAGGTCTTCTTGGTGTTGTTTTGATGGCATTTAGTAAAGTCTACCTGAACTCATCTTGCTGCTTAAGGAGCCAATGGAATTGCTGAGCTCAAACTGTGGAATCTAGTTGGCAGCCTCTGAACTGGCTGTCATTTGTCTGCTGATGAAACTGGTTTGGTATTTGGAGGAACCCATAATGCCTGTGCTTCTGTCATAGTTTTGGATGCCACTTGGTGTGTCACTGTTTGCCTTGTAGCTTTTTGGGGTGACAGTTTGAGTGTACAGGGATCCATTGAAAACATTTTAAGAATGAAATTATTTTAATGATTTGCATCTACCCTGCTTTGTTCTACTTTATGCCTGTCTCAAGGCATTCTACTTGGTTCCTTTTGGATGCTGGGGAATTTTCTAGTTACTAGATCTGTATGTCTGTTTGGAGCAAAAGAGAAAGCAAGTGGGTGGGGGTTGGTTGTTTGTTTTTAACTGTTCTGTAGTCTGAGACAAAAAATAGTACTCTTGAAACATGTACTTGAATCTGTTTCCTGTGGGCCCTTACATTTTGCTAGAACTGATGCTGCAGTCAGTTCATTCCTCCTATTCATGGCTTAGCTTTTGTTTTTAGTTTTCTATTAATTAACAACTTTTCTGTCTTTTTGCCTTGCCTGAATGATGCTTCTCATGTATGAGGGGGAAGATGTAACAAAATGCTCCAGCTGCCTTTTTTGATTACCTGTAGTTCTCATTACAGGGCTAAAATCCTACTCAGAGCAGTTAATACTGGACACTGCTGTGCGCATTCTAAAGAAAATTAAACATGATTTCATTTTTGTTAAAGAGCTGTGGTCATCAAAATTCTTGTTAAATGTGCTGCCACTTAAAAAAGCTCATTTCATAACAGATCATGTGAAACTAATACTTTGTCCCTCTGCCAGTTTCTGGGTTAATCCTGTTAGAAGGATCAGCTGTGCTTATGCTTCCAAAACAAGGTTGCCCGCTGCAAAATTGCAGCACTAAAAAAAAGGACTTGCAAGTCCTTGCTTCATTGTATACAGAACTGTAGCATCCAATGGCACTTTGAATTATCTGTCATTTTTTTATTCTCTTCTCTTTTCAGTGGTGTCTCCTTACTCCTTCAGCATTGGTGATACATCAAAGATGGAGCCTTACCTGCATGGAGGCATAGCTGTGCAAGTGAAGACATCCAAGATGTGTTACTTTGTAAGTGTGTGCTTGCCAGAGCTGGGTTCTCAGGCGATAATGCTCTGAGCACTGGAAGCAGAGTTCAGCATGTACATGTTTCCTAGAATTATAGAATGTCCTTTGTTTGGAAGGGACCCACAAGGATCATGGATTCCAGCTCCTGGCTCTGCACAGGACAGCCCCAAACATCACACCCATTTAAAGATGATTCTTGTCACTAGGATGTGAAACATTTCTCTGACCATTCAGAACTTGCAGTAGATAATCAAGTGTGGTATGAATAATGAAAAGAGCAATGGCAGTGCTAGTCAGAAAGGATATTTATTTCTTAATCTCTATAGGAAGAATATTTTGTCAGATAGCAGTGGCTGTTGTGTTCTTAAGTAGTGTGTTTGTCATGAATTCTGTTTTTCCAGGAACGGCTGGAGAAGCAGATAACAAATCCATTATGCCTTGTTGCAGATTTTAGCAAGCCTGAGGTAATTAGCAAGTGGGGATTTGGACACAAGTGCTCTAATAGTAAAAATACATGAATTGTAATCTGTAACTTCATGTTTAGCATAATATAATTTCTACTTTTTGCCCTTAATGCTGGGCTTTGTTATTGATGTTTGGCAAAATGCAATGCATTATAATATCTAGTTAAAAGAAGATTGCCGCACTTTCCAGTTTCAGCTTTAAATTCTTTTGGGGACTCTTCAGTTGGACTTAGTTGAAGAGGGTGCTGAATATGTGTAAAGGGCACTTTACACATATTCAGTTGCATTACTGAGCAACACTTTCTAAAAAACATTAATAAAATGTATTTCAAATTCACTTTTTAATGTTATTTTAAAACTTTTTTTGAGTGTTGTACTTAAGAGACAAAAAATGAAATGGTAACAGAAGAGTTCAGATAGTTGTTTCTGTTTACTTCATTTCTTTCTAGTTTGTAACTGATCAACAGCTGTTTTTGTCTTAACAGGCACCTTTGCAGATCCATGTTGCCATGCTTGCCTTGAACCACTTCCAGGAGAACTTTGGTCGTGGACCAAACATTGGGTAAAGCAGCAGTTCTGTGTTTCCCAAGCCTTAAATCAGACACAGCTCTCCTTTTTGTGTGGCTGTGCAGCATGGTACCTTATCTGTCTGGTACCTGATAGACCACGTAGAAAAATGGAAAGATGAAAAATGCTATCTCATGAGTATCTGGGTGTGTAACAAGGCTTTCCCAGTATAGCAATGACACTTTCTGGTCCCAGGTAGAGACAAGATAGTTGTGGAGGAAGGCGTTCTCTGTTCTAGTTTTTTCACATTGTGGCACTGATATGGAAAAGTTGTTTCAGTGATCCTGAATTATCTTTTAGTTCATGGATTTAAAAAATCTGAATGATTTGGGTTTAATTTTCAGATTTTTTAATTTGGCTGTAGTTCTTGATGTATGCAATTTTGAGTTAAATGAGACAAAATTACTTAAAAAGTATAAGTCTTAAGACTGTGCTTCCACATGGACTTTTCCACTGATATGCCTGTTCTTGAGCCATTTAGAAGTACATCTTGAATGCTCACTGTTAAGGATAATGTGAGATTCCAGACTTCCTACTGTAGCCATTGTTTTTTTTTCTTTCATTGATTGTGTTTCTAGAAGAACTCTGGAATATTTAAATCATCATTATTGTTTCTACCCTGGTGTCTAGATGCCTTCAAGATGCTGAGGAAATGCTGAAAATAGCCATGTCTATAAGTGAAACACTGGAAAACAAAGTGAGTAAGGAATCATTGTCATTATGACTCACTTTTTAATGTGCTTATTTACTTGCCTAAAAGTCATGCTTTATTTGTTGGTCCTTGTTCTGCCTTTGAGTCCATCTTTAGGTAGATCAGCTGGCTGTCTGAAGGCCATGTGAGGAAACAGAATGGGATTTCAGCATGGGTTCAACTGAATGTTGACCTGACATGAAGGCTGAGCCTGTGATGATGTGACAAATGCATGTGACAAATACAGGGTATATGGCAGATCTGTCTTGCCTGGAAACTTTTTTTGCTAGTCAGAGTGAAATAATCTGTCTTTTACTGAAGAAGAATGGTCTGTGAAACTGTCAAACATTGACTTGTTCACTGAGGGAGTAAACCTGTTCTTGTGTCTTACTTTTCAGCCTCAGGTGAATGGAGATGTGGTGAAATGGTTGTCTAGAACTGCTCAGGGATTTCTACCTCCTTTGGCCGCAGCAGTGGGTGGTGTTGCTAGCCAGGAAGTCCTGAAAGCAGTAACAGGAAAATTTTCTCCCTTGCAGCAGTGGGTAAGGCTGTCTTGGTTTATGGATGGTTATTTTGACATCCTATGAATGGATAGTTGTGTGTGAATGCTGTATGATCAGAGTAACCTGAACAACTTCTATAACGTGGAACTAAAAAAAAATACTTGAGACTATATTTACAAAAATTACTCGCTTTTTGTATACAATAAAATTACATCCAGTTTTAGTAAAAATTTTTGTATTTGGGGTTCAGATAGCACATTGTTTTTCCACACTAGCAAAAATAGCATTGGCTTGTCACCGCATGAATGCAAAGGTGTGATATAGTGCAGATACCAGCTTAAGCTACTGTACATAAGAGCAGGGCTTTCCGACTCTCAGAATAAATTTAGACTACAGTTGGGTTAAAAAATGTCAGAATCTTCAGTTACCTATGCAGGGGCAGCATGCCTGTCAGAAGTCAAAAACTTGCAGCAAACCTGTTTGAGTGAATGCTTTTTCCCCTCTGTGTCCAAGTGCTTTTTCCTATCCACTAAAATTATGAAGTGAATTGTAGGGTACCAGATGCTGTGTAGTTTTCCAGTGACAGTAAAAACTTAGTGCTTCCAAATTTCTAGACTCTGTTGTTCATACAAAGTAGTTAGTTTTTAAATTAAAGTAACCTGTTCACAGGTTTTTATTGGATTTTTTTTTTTTTTCAGCTATATATAGATGTTTTAGACATTGTAACACCTCTAGAGAAGGTGGGCTCTGAGGAGTTTCTCCCACGGTAAATATAACTACAAATTGCTGGTTTATGTATTGTTCACATCTGGGTCTCAAGCAGGCACAGATGTCTTTTAAAGTTAATTTGGTGCTGTTTGCTGGAGGGACAGATTTGGGGTTAAGAATGTGTGTCCTATTTCAGCATGAATAGGAATTATAGACTCTGTCTGACTTTCTTAGTTCATGTCAAAGTGTAGTTTGGCATCAGCGGTACTACCATGATAAACAGCAGCTTGAGGTCACCTGTTTTTGTCTCTTGTGCCTGCATAGGGGAGATAGATATGATGCCTTGAGGGCTTGTATTGGAGACTCTCTGTGCCAGAAGCTCCATAATTTGAATGTTTTCTTGGTGAGTATGACTGACACACTATTTGCAAGTGCTTTGTTGGTACTGCTAATGCCCACTGTCCTCAAAATACATGAGGGCAGCTCTGTGATATACCACTGCAGAATAAATGGTCTGGAATTGCAGTGGGACTTATCTTTGTGGTTTCCATTTACATTTCTGATTCTAAAAATGTACTGTTCTTTAGGTTGGCTGTGGAGCCATAGGATGTGAAATGCTGAAAAACTTTGCACTTCTTGGAGTTGGTACTGGGCAAGACAAAGGATTGGTAAGTCACCTGTTAACCTTACTTCTCATTAGAAGTAGTGTGACAGGGAAGAATGAAATAATTAGACTACTAAAATTGTTAAAAGCCTAAGTCTTATTTCAGATTGATCTCTGTGCAGAGGATACAGTGGCCTTGGTATAGAAGGATGTGCAATTAGAAGCAGAAAACACTTGGAGCAATCTTGCTGTATTTTGATTTTAAATCAAAATTTAGTCAGTCAGTATAAGCAGAGCTTTAGTCAGAGTGGATGCCTATAGCAGTGTGTTGTTTTGACAATTGTTTATAGAAGTTTCATCAAGATCATTGCTTAGTGTTACACTTAAATTGTAACTTCAGCTGTTGCTTTTGCCCCTTCTGACTTAGGTTACAATTACAGATCCAGATTTGATAGAGAAATCCAACTTGAACAGGCAGTTTCTTTTTCGACCTCATCACATCCAGGTAGGCTTTTTCAGACAGTAAATTTTCTGGACTATTGTGTTGCCCTGTCCTGTGTCCCTACAGAGAGCTGAACTTGTGAGTGTCTGTACTTCTGTCTGGAAAAGACTTAGAGGCTGTAATGAAATCTAGAGTTTTTTTTTAAACAGTGCCTAGAACTCCAATGGCATCCAAGTATGGATGTATCACCAAGTACTACTCATCACTAGTATCATTTAAGTAAAATTGGTTGTCTAGTATTAATTTGTACTGGTGTTTTTGATGAATGAAATCTCTCGAATTGGACAGTTGAATGAGTACTGAATTGCATAAGAGCATGCCATGGGTTGCTATGTCAGAAATGCTCTACTATGCCATTGAAATTTGGGGAAAATAAAACAACAAAAAATAGACCCTGCTGGCAGAAGTCTTCTTCATAGAGCTCAGTAGTGCTGCTGCTGATGGAACTTGACCAAAGTTGGTGTCTTCTTACTTAATTCAGTTTTCACTAAGCTGGTAAATAGTTTTGAAAAAGCCCAACATGAACATTCAGTAAATGAGTAACACAGAAGCTGTTAATTCCTTAGAAGCAGAGAGAACATCCCCGTACTTGCAAACACAGCACAAAATAAAAAAGGTGGCTTAGATCATGACAGCAATGCGGAAAAAGGTTTCCCCTGCCCAAAATCCAACAGTTGAATTTTCTGCCTCCTGTTTATGTATAGCAAATCTGGGAACAGATTGCACTTTGGATGGATGGAAAGTGAGCCATGCAAGCTTTTAGAAGCCACAGGCTTGAGTGCTGATCCCTAGATAACTGTAGTATGGCTAGAAGTGTTTGGTAGGTCAAGAACTCTATTTCAGTTTAGCTTCTGAAATTGGTTTTATGTGGAATGCCTTGCAGTAATGTGATTATTCACAGGTTCTTGATGTCTGTGCTGCATAGACACAGTCAGAGTTACTAATGTGTTTATCCTCAGACAGTCATTAGCTGCTCCCTTCTTTTGAAGAAATTCTTATGAGTGGCAGCATCTGGCATCAGTTTCAGTTACTTGATAAACCATTGAAGCACTTCCACCATGTGGTCTCTGAATAAAACTAAATAAATAAAACAAAATAAAACAAACAAAAAATAAAGCTAGATTAATGAGATATTTATCAGGGAGGGAAGTATATGATTAAAAAATGTTCTTTATCGTATGTTTTGCATACTAACATTTCTGTCAGTGAATTTTGTCTGATCAGTAAATGAAGTTGCTATTTCTGTGTCTCTGATGTTCTCTACATATTGCTGATATCTGTATTTATGCTTTCAGAAACCTAAGAGCTACACTGCAGCAGAAGCAACTCTGAACATCAATCCTCACATAAAGATTGAGTCAGATATTAATAAAGTTTGTCCAGCCACTGAGAACACTTACACTGATGAATTCTACACCAAGCAAGATGTGATTGTGACTGCTTTGGACAACGTTGAAGCCAGGAGATACATTGATAGGTAGGGTGTGGAAGGGAAGCAAGAGCAATTGTTAACTTCTGATGAGGGTGAGAATACTCTGTCAGTTTTAAGGTTGAATTATTAAAGCATAAAAATATGCATTTACATTTAAAAGTAGAGATATTGACACAAATAATTTCTAATGCTCATAATCCACACATGCTGAGTTGTATGGTATCCTGATCTAACCTGAATAGTTCTTATTTAATCTATTTTTTTCCTGAGTTTGGTGTAAGCTTTCCACTCTTCTGAAAGTGCCTAGTGACAACTCTGGTTGCACTCCAGTAATGTTTGCAAGGCAAGAATGTAGAGATTGTTCTGTACTCTGATAGTCTGTGTCTTTCCATGTCAGTCGTTGTGTAGCAAACCTGCGTCCTCTTATAGACTCTGGAACTATGGGAACAAAAGGACACACGGAAGTTATTGTGCCCCATCTGACAGAGTCCTACAATAGTCATGTAAGTCTTTCAAGACCATTGCTCACCTTCTCTAGCTTGTCCCATGATGCCCTCTGATTCTTTAAGCATTTTTATGTGTCATTCTAAAATAAGTAGCCTATTTGAGCTGCTGAAGAACAGTACCATTAGGAAATAATTGCCTCCTTTGTTTCTGAAGAAAACTCACAGGAAATAAAATTTGAGCAGTTCTTTACAAGCATACATTACAGTTCTGTTTGAATAGGAAAGGGGAAAATGAACCTTCAGGCTCTATTGCTGATAGACACTACCTGTAGTATCAGTCTGTTTTAAGTTCTTGTGGAGAAATTTGCTGGTTGAGAATACTATGAAATAGTGCCATGTGGACACAGAGACAGGATTTTGAGCATCGTAGTTGTCTTGTTAGGGCCTTGAGTGACAGGACATGTTTCATGTTGAAAGTATAGCTGAATGCCAGCTGTGCATCTTGGAAAACCTGGTTGGCAATTTCACCTGTTGTTTATGTTTCAAAGTTCAGTTTTGCTTTCCAGTGTTGAGTTTAGACTATTCTTCATAAAGAATTGACAATACTAGCTAGTGTTCATAAAACAGATTTCTAAGCAGAAAAAGCCACTTTGTATTTTATAACAGCAGAGATTTTAATTTATGTAGTGTACAAGTTCTTGGTGCTATTATTAGTAATTAACCTGGATAAGCCTGCATTGACATGCAACCCTCTTTAATTACAGCGGGATCCACCAGAGGAAGAAATACCTTTTTGCACCTTGAAGTCTTTTCCAGCTGCTATTGAGCATACGATACAGTGGGCAAGAGATAAGGTAATGAATTCACCTTTCTGGCATTCAGCACAACTCCGTGTGTGTGGAAAGGTGGGCATCTGATACTCTTCTTGCATAATGGCATATTTGTTCTTTTTATTTTACAGTTTGAAAGTTCATTTTCTCACAAGCCTTCATTGTTTAACAAGTTCTGGCAAACCTATCCATCGGCAGAAGAAGTTTTACAGGTAAGGTAATGTTGCCAGGGTAAAATAAAGGGTTTAAACTACTGCTTTATGGATTTTGTTTCTTTTAAGGCCAGTGAAATTAGTATTAGTTTCTGACTTCTTTCAGAAAACCTGAAGACTTACTTGGCCAAGTCATTAGTTGATCATATGAACAGTATTTCTGGTGTGCCACATAATTAAAAGTTTCTCCAGCTCATGGATGCCGTACATGATGTACAAGTACCAGAAAAACTGAGACATTGCTAATGTGTGATTAGTGTGTGTCACACTGATGTGTAACTAGCTGGGAAAAATGAAAGTAAGACTGAGTTTGAACTGAGTTCAAGTAGTAATAAATTAGATTGAAATAGTTTACTGTCTTTTTCTTGTGAGTCTGTAATGGCCTGTGGTCCAAAGGGCTGGTGGAAGTAAATGGGGAAAAATTCCAATGGAGAGGAGCACATAAAGGATAATATTTCATTAAGTGAACCTGTTTCCTCTTGCCTATGGATTGCTAAAAGCATATTTACTGTTTTACTGCATTAGAAGGAATCTTGTCTTTTAACATTTTCATGTTTCTTTATCTAGAGAATAAAATCAGGAGAGAGCTTGGAAGGCTGTTTTCATGTTATTAAAACTCTCAGTAGAAGACCTCGAAGTTGGACTCAATGTGTAGAACTAGCACGAGTAAAATTTGAAAAGTATTTTAGCCATAAGGTAGGTAAGACCTATAAATGAGGTAGCAGTAGACTGATGAGGATTTTAGAAAACCTGGTGGTTCTAATAACGAGGTGTCCAAGTCTTTGCACTGACTTCCATCTCTTCATAAATAACAAACTATATTTGAAACCTAAAAATGCTGCATCCCTTTCTACTGTAGCACTTTTAGGTCTGGTTTATTAACTCACTCTTAGTACTCTGTTCAGTAGTCTCCATGCAGTTTTCTTGGCATTTTTCCATTTTTTTCCAAAGTATCAGGATTATTAGATGTCTTTTATTAGGCAGTGGGGTTTTGTTTCCCATACTAAACTCCTGTTATTTAACTCACCTTCATAACCCTGATTTTCGCAAAGATTTTTCTGAAATAAGAGCCAGTCATTCTGACAGTCTGGTCCACATTTTTGCTTAAAGTATGTGTGTAATTTTGTAGGAAAGATGGGATTGGGATTTTGTGAATTAATATAACATTCCTGTGCATACAGAATCCCTGGTGGTAGCTGTCACATTGAGAAAACATTGTATTCCAAGTTGAATCCATATGCAAGAATCCTAAAGTGACAATAAGATGGGGGAGAATGCTTTGCTTCTTGGATTAAATGCCTTGCATGAGCTTTCTATAGATGAGGTGACATTATCATCTCTGTTCTGTGAATGAAATGGGCAAGCACTCTGTCTAGTAGCACTTGTCTTTAAGCTGTCCATCTTGACAAAGGTGTTTGATGGTTTTCTGAACTCTTTAAATTGCTTCAGCTAGTCAGGCTTGATTTAGTGTAGTCATGTCAATCTATGTGACAAATTACTAAAGCCACTCTGGATTTTCCTCTAGGCTCTTCAGCTCCTTCATTCATTTCCCCTTGATACACGATTAAAAGATGGAAGTAAGTACAAATGTCTCTTTATGCCTATTGAAAATTCATGGCATATGTCATGTTGTTGCTGCTCCTGGTTCCTTAGGATTTCATCTGAAGTCTGTTTTCCTACCAGGTTTGTTTTGGCAATCACCAAAGAGGCCTCCTTTTCCAGTGAAGTTTGAATTTAATGATCCTTTGTAAGTATGATACTGTCCCAGATGCATTGTATAGCATCCTATAAAATCCACCTTACAGCAGGAAGTGTAAGGCAGTGGCTTTATAGCCCTGGAAGTTGGACTGGAACTAATAGCTGTTAGTGCACAGTCTTATCCTGTGGCAGATTTGGTGAGCTCCCAAATACTTTCACTGCAGATAATTTAACGTTCAGTGATATGGGATTGGAGGGTGCTGTTCTGACAACATCTCATGTGAAATGGCTTAGAACAACCCATTTCATGTTTTATATGGGTGCAGAATTACCGAGTTGCTGCTGTCACATCTCTCTGCCCCCACTGTCCACGTTATAAAATGCAGGCTGTGCCAAATGACCTAGTGAAGGGACTGCTTTTCTTGTTCATTACATTTTGGGTCTGATCTAGATAGCTTGGGTATTACAGATAATTTTAAAAATGGATGTGGTTGATGGATTAAAAAGCTTTTATCTGATGTATATCTACAATTGCTTTGAGAAACTGGATCACTGTTTTTAGTTTGAGTGAAAACTGACATCATGCTAAATATCAAAGTAATTCTGATAAAGCTTTTTATTATATTGATGACATATGAGCATTTGTGTTTGCTTGACTGCAAAAGTTAAGGAGTCATGGTTGTCATTAAATAACTCTCCACTCATCAAAATTTGCTTAGTTTTGGGGACAAGTTCTGAGTCAAAATGTGCTATTTTGTACTGTGTACGCTGAAGGATGGAAATTCTGTTTCTCAGTATGTTTGCTTAAGATCTTGAACATGATTGCAAACCTTTGGGCAACTGAAGTAGAAAAACAACCAACCAAGAATAATTATTTTTTTCTTCAGGCACTATGGTTTCATCATGAGCACAGCGAAGCTCTTTGCCACAGTGTACTGTGTTCCTTTCACAGAAAAGGTAATGCAGACCGTAACAGTGTTCCCTTAACTTACCTTGGTGTTCAGTTTTGGCCTATGTCCAGCTGCCATTTCTTTTCAAGAGCTGATTAAAGTGATTCTTACAGTAAACTATCCTTCAGCACTATATGTTTGGCATTATTTTCTTTATTTAAGTCCTGAACCTGGTGAAAAAATGAGTTGTGTATTGGATATTTTCAGTAAGCACTGAACTTGGGAATTATTATTTTGATGGAATATAACTACCGAATTGAAAGAAAATCTCTTTAAGGCTTTTTGAAAAATTAAGTATTTTATGTATGCTGTGGAGATTTTATTTTTTACTGCTTACAGCCTCTGCATTACTTATCCATTTTTGTTTTCTTGCTTGTTTTTTATTTGACTGTAAGTCAGGTTTGCACTTCTGTTCAGTTTTCAAGTGCTAGGTACTTCACACTGCTCTGGCTTGCTGTAGCAAATGAATTGTCACTTGGTGTTTTAATGATGATGTTTCGCTGAAACATCTCTGAGTATCTGTGAGACTTCTTGGGTCTAGTATTCATTGAAATCCTATTGTATTTACAGTCGTTTTGTGGAGGCCTTTTTGAGTTGGTGTGAATTTAAATTGTTTTTCTTCAAAACCATAACAGGACTTGTCAGAGGAAACCATTTTGGGGATTATTTCATCTGTGAAGGTACCAGAGTTTAGACCTTCAAACAAAGTAAGTGTGATATTTAATTTAAAGAAAAAAATAAGATATTCCACAAGCAGTGTCCCACATCTTCAACTAATGTACTGATGCTAATGAAAAATAAACACAAATTATAGTGTGTTTTGGGGAAATAAGTGTGTTAAGGTTAGAGGGAGTCCCTGAAGAACACCTAGTTAAATCCTCTTGCTTAAACAGGGGCAGCTAGAGCAAGTCATCAAGGACTGTGACCCACGGAGTTATGAATATCTCTGAGAATAGAGACTCCAGAGCCTCCCTCTGTGCCAGTGTTCAACCACCCTCACAATTGTTATGGGATGCTTTTGTTTGTTTCTTTTTCTTTGAAGTATGTTTGTATGTTTCTTAGGGAATTTTATGTGCTTCAGTTTGTGCCCTTGTGCTGTCACTGGGCACACTGCTCTTTGTACTTCTCCCCGATGAAATACTTGTACACATTGATAAGATCCCACTGACCCTTGTCTTCTCCACACTGAGCCATCACAGCTCTCTCAGCTTCTCCTCTCGTATGAGAGATGCTCCTGTCCTTTAATGTCCTTAGAAGCTCTTGGCTGGACTTGAGAGCCATGTCTTTCTTGATCTGGGGAGGAAAGTCTGCAAGGAAGACAGGAAATTCAATCCACTTGACACCTGCATTGTATAAAGTTAGTGTATTTTATTATTCAAGCACTGCACACACTTGCAGGTTGTACAGACTGATGAAACTGCAAGAAAACCAGATCATATTCCTGTCAGCAGTGAGGATGAAAGAAATGCTATTTTCCAGCTGGAGAAGTCTATACTATCCAATGAAGCTCTGGCAAGTGAGTAGTGCAAACCAGTGTCATAGTTTAGTAATATCCTGCATTTACATTTGCCACTAGTGACATTCAGGTCTTTGGATGAAGCAGTTCTGGAATTCTGCAAGAAGTAGAGCTGATACCTAAAGCTTTCTGAAATGCCATGCAGATACCTGTCCTGTTGCTTGACATTACCCTATGGTTCTGTGTTTCTGAGATTTGTCGAAGTTTTAGGGCTTTCTGTTACACTTGCTTGTAATTACAGCACTGATGACAGTGAGCAGGCAGCAGCGGGGAATTGAACTCTTAAGGAAGGGAAGGGTGTTGGCTGGATCCCAGATGGACTGCAAGTGATTCAGGCATGAGAAGGCTGCAGTCACTACTTAGAGTTCTCAATCTGAAATGATCCTAAATTGTAAAGACTGTTAAGGGTCTTCCTCAGCTTCTTCTGGATTTAAACTGAGGATGCTCACATCCCATTTTTTGCCTGGCCACACGAAGAGGTCACTAGGCAACAACTACATGCAAGTTTTTTTAGGCCATGAATCCAGGAGAAAGATTAGCTTATCGCTAACTCATCCCATGGAGTATCAACCCAAAACTGATTCCAATGCTACTGAATCCATATTTTGAATTTTTTGCAGATAAACTAAGCTTTAAAAGGGAATTCTCTCAGGCTGGAGCTTTAGTGAGGTGGAGTGTATGAGAAACATCGATAGGAATGTTCAAAATCTATTCTTGGTGGTGCAAGGAAAATAAAATTACAGAGTTCTGTTGATGCTTATTTCATTATTCACTTTTAGCAAGTGCTATTGAGAGGGGCATTTCTTAGCATAGGAAAACAAGTAAGGCACCAAGGTCCAGGATGTGAAATGTTTAATTTGTTAAGGTTCTAGTTCCTTTAAATTGTGTTTTGGACATCTTCAATTTGCTAATAGTAATTTTTGCTCTTTTATATTTTCTTTTTTATGAGCAGCTGACTTGCAAATGAAGCCCATCTCCTTTGAGAAAGATGATGATAGTAATGGGCACATAGATTTTGTAACAGCAGCGTCAAACCTGCGAGCCAAGATGTACAACATCGAACCAGCAGATCGGTTCAAAACAAAGCGCATTGCTGGAAAGATTATTCCTGCCATTGCAACAGCTACTGCTGCAGTATCAGGGCTGGTGAGATTAGTTTTTAAAATGCATATTTCTTTCTCTTACTGCTTCTTGCCTTAAACTGCTGTTGTCTGGGTATTGATTACTGCTACCCTGACAGAAGTTCATTTAAAGAAATGGATTTATTTCTTATGTGCCAATAGCAGAGGTCATGCTTGATTCTAGATGTAGTTGTTGAGGAATGCAGGTAGTGCAGGTAGCTCAGTGTGGAGCTGTAGTGCCAGCTGAAGATTGAGCTCTGTGTGGGAGCCTCAGGCAAGAGGTCGTGAACTGATGCTTACCCTCTGCAAACAAAGGGCAGGGGACCTGTGGCCCAGCCCGGTGACCAAACGCTCAGAAACTCAGCAGGATCCAAGGACTGAGGTGGAAGACCCTGAACTCTCAAGCACAGAGACTGTAAGGGTTCAAAAGCCCACATAGTCCTTTGCTGAGAGCCCCTTCTCCAAGGCACCAGCTTGAGTTGTTATTCTGTTGCTACACCATGATAAAATTACTTAAAGAAACCAGAAGTCTGAGGCTCTGCTAAGGAAAACCCAGGGTCCAGCCAGCGAAGAAACCTTGTATGGCTGTGAGAGTGGGATGAGTAGTGAGGCAGTGGCTGAGAAGCTGCCCACTGTGAAGGGGATTCAGTCCCAGCAGTGAGAGTCTTTGGTGGTGTGAGTGTGGCTGCTGGAGTGGCTCCTGAATGGTCAATAAGGGGAGTTTCCTTACCATAGTAAGCCTTTGGTACTTTTATTTTTTATTGCAGCACAGAAGGATGGGTTGGAATTCTGCATTTTGGTTTGTTTTTGGCCATTAGTACTAACTTCCATCAGAATGCCGCTGCCAAGAGTGTAAAGGATCTGTTCTGTAGTAGTTCACGTTCACGCATCTCAACATAACCTCATGCTTTGTGGAGATTGCATGAACCAAACAGTTTTGGAAGTGTGCTACATTAAGAACAGTTTTGAATGTTTTAAGTATTTCACTTGGCTGCAACATAATTTATTTATGTGGCATAGTGGGTTGCATTTCCATGTTATTTACTCTGCTGATTGAACAAAAGCTGATCTCATTAACAACTTCCTTGGTAGTTGCTGGTCTCTTAACTACATTAGAGTTGATAATAGCACTAAAACCTAAAAAATAAATTCTAATTTACTGCAGGTTGCACTGGAACTCATCAAAGTTGTGGGTGGCTACCCAGCTGATGCATACAAGAACTGTTTTCTGAACCTAGCCATTCCCATAATGGTCTTTACAGAAACTGCTGAAGTAAGAAGAACAGAAATCAGGTAGGAAGGACAATGGCAGACGGGGAAGGACAATATTTGGAAACCTACTAATTGATGCTTAGAACTTGATGAACCATTCCAACAAGTGTGAAGTTTGAATAGTTACTAAATCCAGATATCCACATTAAGGCCTTATGTGCTCACATAGCAGAGCTATGATGGAACCACAGCTCATGGCCATACTCCAGTTAAGCATTCTAGATATTCAAGGGTATTTTTTGTTGTTTAAACTTGGAAGATGATAAATTGCTTCATGCTTGCTATCAAACTCTGCTATCCACTTACTGTGTACTGCTAGAAATGTAAGTGATCCTTGTAATAGGATAAAATAATAATATATTATATTATATGTAATAATAAAGGGTGTCCCATAATGCATTGCCCAAGAATTTCCTGATTGGGAAATGCAGTCCATATTCATCTATCCTAATTCTAAAAAATAGTGGGTTTAAAGGCTTAGTTTGGTTTCCAGTGGAAGCTGTTAATTGTGAGACTTTAAAAATCTAGAGAAGGTAGATGTGTGGCATTGTTCTTTGGAAACATCCTAGACACCCTTTTGCATCTTGTTCAACAAGAGTTATTTTTTTAGTAGGTCTGGAAACTCAGTAGCTTCATTGTCAGGTACCATGTCTACTTAGGGGTCTTATTGTGTCCTGTGCTTAGCAAAGTGAGGGCTGGAGAAATGGCAGCACAGAGGGAAGAGGCTTTTGCTCAAGATTAAACAGCACATCAACAGGAAGACATGGCAGTTCTCCAATACACTTTAAAAAGGAATGACTAAGTTCACATTCTAAAGTAACAACCTTTCACTTTTTAAAACAGAAATGGGATATCATTTACCATCTGGGACAGGTGGACAATTTATGGAAAAGAGGATTTTACTCTGTTGGACTTCATAAATGCTGTCAGAGTAAGTTATCTACTGTCCTGGGTTAATACAAGAGGAAAGGAGTTTCTTGTTTTGGGTTGTTGAATTGTATTTTGTTTTTTATTTCCATCAAGTTACTGCTCAAACCAGAATAATTTTAGTAATAACTAACGTATAATAATAATAAAAATTATAATAACTAATGTATAATAATTTTAGTAATAACTAATGCTTTAGTAATAACTAATGGGAATATCTCTAAGTAAAGGCATCCAAGCTTGTTTTCAAATTCCTTGTTAATTCAGTTGAATCAAATGTATCCTAAAACTTTCTATCAGCATCCATGCATTAGCAGGTTTACTGGTTTGGATCCTATGGATTTGAATAATTAGTAGTATTTGCAGCAGTAGTATCTGCTGGTTTGGGCAGCTGTTCTAGTCTTTTAACAAGTTTTAATTTGTGAATTCCAGGAGAAATATGGAATTGAACCAACTATGGTTGTACAAGGAGTCAAAATGCTCTATGTTCCTGTGATGCCAGGCCATATCAAAAGATTAAAGTTGACGTAAGTATAACTCGAAAATGGATTTAGGAGTGCAAGTGCACACACAAATTATGTTCGTTGCTTGTATGAAAAGGACATATGTCTGACAGCAGTATTTTCTCTCAAAGTGGTTTCTAGCCATTAATACTTTGGAAAGAAAAAACACGTTGGAAAGAAAAAAAGATAATTTATTACTTTTTGTAAAACAAAACAAAACAAAAAAAACCCCAAAAAAACAGAGAAGGTGAATTAACTTCTGTGATGAGGAAAGGAGACTTGCAAAATACTGCTTTAACTGTTGAATACCAGAATGAGAAAGCTGAAGAAGTCTGGCAGTAATTCTTTGGGGGGAAAGAATGTACCATGGTTCAAGCAGAACAAGACTACTAGGACCTTTTGAAACTGGCTTAAAACTAATGCTGATATTTAGCAATTTAGCTCTGAAGGAATAATGTATTGCTTGCAGTTTAAGATTTCTGGAAGTCTGTTCAATTATAGTAATTGCTTGAGATTCTACATCACTTTAGCCCTTTTAAGAATGATGACATTCACAAAGGCTTCGCTATGCTGCTTACAGAGAGGAAATAGGTATTTCACCCTGGCAGTTTGGCAGGATGTGAAGGCAGGGCATTAGTTTTGACTGAAGGCCTTTGCAAAATAACAGCCAGATCTCACCCAGTTTAGTTCTGCCTTACACCTGTGGATTGAGCTACTTTAGCTCAAAATCTGTTCCTTACAGCTCCTGTGAAATGTGTGGTAGTGTTCACAGGCTTTGCTGAAGCAAGTAGATGCACTGATCAGTACTGCTTTGAAGGCCTACCAGTAGGTATAAGGGAGAGATTATGAGTAAGCTACTTCAGAGTCCTAGGGAGAGAAGAGCTGCTAAGCTGTAAAGTTGCTACGATGAGAATTTACAGCCTATCTCTAAAAATGTTGCTTATATGTTTTCTCTTACAGCTGTATAAATATTTTTGAATGAGTGGGGTATGTAATGAAGTCAAAGCCATGGTATGATGCTGCCTTCTTGTGAATATCAGGATTTTTTACTACTATGACACTTTAATGGGCTGTGTCTGTCAGGAAAATGGAATACTGTTTGCTGAAGCTCAGGTGGAGGAACAGCTTTTGTGTGTAATTCAGAGGTGGTTTATTCTGTTTTACTTTGGTCTATAGTATGCTGGGCTAGTACATATTGCTGATAGTGAAATTCTTCTGAGTCTGGCCCTGAATTCCCACTGTCAATCCTCTTGGACATTTATGAACTGCTCTTAATTTCTTTATAGGATGCAAAAGCTTGTGAAACCATCAGCTGATAAGAAGTATGTGGATTTGACAGTATCATTTGCTCCAGAGACTGATGGAGAGGAAGACTTGCCTGGGCCACCAGTGAGATACTACTTTGTTCAGGAAGACAATTGATGGTAGAGACACAAAAGTCACTCATGGACCATTTGTTCTGAAAGGAGTGTGCTAATTTTCAGCTATTAAAGATGGTACTATATATTTCTTTTTGGTGAAGCCTTAATTAAATTGTGAAAATCAGTGGCTTTGCACTGAAGACAAACTGGATTTCTTTCTTCTGCTCCTGTATTCTTCAAGCCTGTTTGCTCAAAGGAGGATTGGTCACTCCATGAGATGGAATGTCCAGTACAATCCTTACCTTAAAAGCAAGATTTGCATTGAGGAAAACAAGAAGAATGGGGAACCTAAGAAATGGTCCCCATGTGCAAATTAGGTAATTTGCATTTTCTTAGGGAAGAGTGCAAAAAATAGGAAAAGCACCATTTTATGATACTCCTGGTGTTCTGAGAACATCTCAAATTCATTTCATATGTTACTCCATTCTCAAACAAGAATTTCATTCTTGCCATCTACACATGAGATTAGATCCATCTGAACGGCTTAAACTCCTACTCAAAAGCAGAGGAACTGCTTTTTTGTATGGCTGCTTAGTGGTGCTGTAGTCAGCACAGCTATCTTGTGTCAGTCTCAGCATGGAAATATAGGGAGGGGGTGTGAATTGTCAAAACTTCCCTGAAGTCCAGAGAGCTGGAATTGTTGATTATCTGCACTAAGACTGGTCTTTGTGGAATACTGCAGTATGGGGAAAGTGAAAACCTATCGGAGAGCCAAATTAGCACTTTCAATAATAAAACTTGGTCTTCAACAAAGAGAAAATGTGGTTGAGCCTTTCTGCCCTCATCAAATTAAAATCACTGTAGCACTTGACGACGTTTAAGGCAGAAAAAGGCAAATGGATGTTTGTCAAAGCAAACTTACCTCAGCTGTTCCTTTTGGTACTATTTCCCTATAGCAAATTGTTGTGCTGTATACCTGTCCTCAGAACAAGTCTGAGCTGCACTGAACTGTGAGGTCTTTACCCTCACTGGTCAGTTATTGGGATATGTAATTATAAAATTTCTGCTTAATTTGAAATCATTATGGACTAGTTTTGCTTCTGTGGTGAGGCAGAGGTGTGTTACAAAAACATCATCATTTAACTCATTTAAGCACTGCGTACTTGAGGTTGTAGTTCCTTTTTTCTCCCCATCACAGTAGAGCAAGGCAAAATTAAAATAAAAACTTACAAACTGAAATACCCTCTCATATGTTTCAGCCTTAGAGATTGTTATTTAACATTATATCCTGCAGCTGTTGCAAAAGCTATTAACAACTTAGCTGTTTATCCTCAATCATAGTTTATTAAGCTTTAGGGATGTCTTCACATTTAATGTAATGATGTCACTAATTAGTGCTAAGGATCACATAAAGGTTTAGGTCAACAAGAAAAACTGTCACCTCTCACAGCTGGAGGCTGGGAAACAAATGAAACTTTGAGTAAGTATATTCTCTTATGTTAGTGTGGTGTTAATGTCATGCTTATGCTTTTGAAATAAGCAGCATTTAAAAACAGTAAAGTCTTAGTACTATTCTAGAATGCCATATAACTGTCCTCAGGGTTTAAAGTAAACTGTCAGATATAATTCATGCAATGGCTTTTACTAATCACAACATGTACACCGAGAGCCTTGTAAAAAGTCCAGGTCAAGGCTGGCAAGGATCACAGCTGGAAATTGCAGATATGGCTGTATCTTTATGCTGCTCTTATTGTGTGTGTCTCATGGATGGATGGATGCTCTGTGGATAGGTTCTGCTTAGCTAAAAAGTTGATAATGGAAAAAGTAAAAATGCACAATGGCTCTAGATATTTATTAGCACACCTTTAAAATTTTTGGATGTAAATTAATGTAGGTAAAATCTCAGAACTAGTAATTTCAAGAGGACTTTCTGTAGAAGAACTCGGCATGTCAAGTGGCTCATTAAAACTGTTCTTCGTGCTTTAAACCTTTTTGAATTGCTGATATGGAGAGTGAAGGTGTTTATATGGAAGATTGTGGAGTATACTGATTCAGTGTGAATTTGTGTTTGATAGAGCCTGTTTCTCAATCTGCTCCTGCTTTTTATCAAAAGTCTCTGCAGGTGCTCAGCATAATCACACTAAAAAGGCTCTGGGCAAGTGAATTTTGGGGTGCTGATCTTCCAAATCTTCAATGCTGTCACAGTGTTACCAAGCTAGAGGCTTGTAGTATTACCTGGAACCTGAGAACTGCTTTATTTATTTTCCGTTTCTTTTTTTTTTTTTTTTGTTCATGGCAGTGAAAACTTGTATTAGTCTAGGACTGATGCACAATTCCAGTGGAGCAGCTGAAGCTTGCTGTCTTCCTGCAACAATGAAGAACTGTCTTTCCACAGAGCACGTCAAAGAGCTTTCTTTCAAAATGTTATTCTTTGAGAGAGCAGTTGATTTGCAGGAATTAAATTTTATATCAGTAATGCAGATCCTTCTCACTCGAATGCTTTCTTGAAGTTTGCTCATATGTACACCAACTTTCTCTGACTTTCTATCACCGTTAATAGATAAAGTTAATTAATTTGTGCGTGCCTGGTATTAAGCAGCCAGATCAACTTTTTTCTGATTAGTCATCATGTTTCTTTAATGTTAGGAGTAGTGAGGATTCTGTGTGAGGGTCTCAATACTGTTACCAAAACTGCTTTGCTGGATCAGATGGATTTAAGCTTTTATTAGCTACACCACAAGTAAAAAGTACATGTTTCCGTATTATTTTCCCACCCTTTTCCTATGTACGGTGAAATATGTGACTGCTTATTAAAAAGATAAAGCTATTCAGGAATAGTGGTATATAGGAAGAACAACTCTGGCACCAGTTAGGCTGTCACCTCTTCGTGGCTTCTCACATCCTGAAATAACATTGGTTTGAGCTAGGCAGACAGTTCATATACCTGTCAGATTTGTTATCAAATACAAGTAAAGATTTTAGATAAGTTTATGATCTTCATGTTTGTAATTTTCCTTGTGTCTTTGAAACAATGTGGACGTAGGCCAGTAGTTTTAAGTAAGGAACTGAGTTTCAGCCAAAAGCTGAAACTAGCTTGAAAGTTTATCAATCCCTGTGCAATTACAGAAAGCAAATGTGGAACACAGTGCAGCAATCTAAACTCTTGTCCAAAGGTTAACAATTTTCACCAGAGACCTTTTGAATATTTATTTTAGTAAAGGTATAGTGTGTGTGGTTGATTAAGTAGCTGGTGCAGGTGCTTATCCATGGTGCACAAAGTTATTGAGGCTCAAGCTTAAAGGTGCTCTAAGTTCCATAAGCATTGCTAACAGCAGAACTGTGTTAGTGACGTGCATCCTTTTTTATGGCACAGGTGAGAGTGAAGAAGTGTTAAGTTACCACTTCTCCCAGCATTATACAAGTTTAAATTCCGTAGAGGGAAAGCTGCAACTCTGATTTGATGCATACTGAGCAGCACCCTTTTTGACAGTGATCTAAACTATTTTTGTGAAAAGTGCTAATCTCCCATGCTATGATGTACTTTTAAAATAGAAAGGGCCTTGCCTTTAGTGGTCACAAAGAATAGTAATAAGGAGACCTGGTCTTCCGGTCACAAGTGTGTGCTAAAAAGCATTACTTAAAACTGTATTTTTGGGCAGTGTTTTGCTGTCACTGTAAGGTATTGCAACCTTACGTTCTCTAGCAGTCGTTTTTTGCTCGTTGAGTTCTTCAGTAGAATTTTAAAGAAAAAAATGCAACGCGCCGTGGTAACAAGGGATGCTTTGTAGCGTTTGGAAACCTGAGGACTTGAGCGTTTCCTACAGACGAAGTAAAAGAACGGGGAGCATCGCCCGCCCGCCCCCTCAGAAGAAGGCGGCCGGCAGAAAGGGCGGGAAGGGGAGGTAGGGGTGCAGCAGCTGCTGCTGCGCAGGCGCAACAACGGCGCGCGCCTAAATCCGCTGCCCGGGCTGGCGCGCGGGGGCCGCTGACCAATGGGACGGGGCCGCGGAGGCGTGGCCGGGGTGCTGCCGGCCCTGCGTGTGCGCGCGCCCGCCCGCCGAGGAGGGCGCGTGAGGTTCGAAGGCGGCGCGGGGAGCGCGCGCCGGCCCCGGTCTGGTATGGCGCAGGCCTTGGTGAGAGAGGGCGGGAGCGACCGCTCTGTCTGTGTGTCTCTGTGTGTCTGCGTCTGTCTGCCTGTGTCTCTCTGTCTGTCTGGTTTGTTGTGGACGGCGGCCGAGCTCCTCAGTAGCGCAGAGGCGCGGCCCCGGCGCGCTCCTGAGGGGAGGGGTAGGGCCGGTCTTCCACTTCCCCCTGAGGAAGCGAGGCTTGAGCTGGGGTCCCGCGCTCGCTCCGGCTCCGGGCGGTCGGCACAGACATGCGGGCTGCTCTGTCGGGAGCCCCCTTCCCCACAGCGCGCCAGTGTCTGTGCCAGACCCCGTTCCTCTCGGGCTGCCGCTGGAGAGCCGACTTCCACGGGACAGCGAGCACATCAACAGCAGGACACTTGTGCAGGCACCCTAGGATCGCGCTTAAGTTTTAAAATTCTTCATGTGTAGCGCGACACGAACACAATAATAAATGAACTGTTAAAGGCTCTTTTAGGTCATTGAAAGGAATTTTTAATTTCTTTAGTGCGCAAGGTCACTTGCCAGTGCTGCACTCTGCTGCGAAGGGAAGGGGGTTTAAGTTTATGCTCGAGTGCTGGATTGACTGCGGAGTGTGCTTCTGTATAGTTTCTGAAGTGGTGTCTTTTGGTCAGTTGTTTTCCCGTGTCACCTGTTTCCTTCTGCCACGTTAAACCGATGTTGAAAAATTGTAGTGAAATCAATCCATATAGAGTTTGATTTTTTTTGATACCAGAAGTAATATCCAAAGGGGAATCACAGTTAAGTGCAAAGTACTGTCAGTATGGCAAACTTAAGGAAAACATGCCGAATTATTTTGTGTTAGGATTAGATCATCACATTACTTCTCATTGCATATACTCTAAATTTACACGAATCAGAAAGAGGCTATAGTTGTTTTTCAGCTAAACATTTACATTTTTTATTTTCCTGACACATTTGTGAAGAACTACACTCTGCTGCTGAATTTTTCTTGCCCTTTATTCTCATTTTATCCTCTACAACCATTGCTGGTTCCCAGGTCAGCGGCTTTATTTGATTACACAGAGAATGAGTTGCTGCTTGCATTATTACTGCTTTAGTGTGGTAAATGGCTGGAGTCCTGTCTGCTGTGTGAATGACAAGTTTTATACTTGGGTTTCAAGTGTATGAAGAGGCACTGTGGCATTCTAAGAAAAACAGTGCTGCAATAACTCCCACTCTCCCACTACTTCAAGATGTCTCTAGAATCCTTGAGATCTGCTTATTTGCTTTTCAAGTGCCATCATGCTTAGTAAAAATGGATTCTTATTTCTTCACAGAATCGTTTAAAAAAAGACTACAGAGCAAGATTCTGCCATGGAGGAGGGTAATTTGCATTTAAACACCTATTCTTAGATTCTGGAAAACTTACCTTGACTTTATCTAAGAGCTAAATGTCAAAACTACTTGATGTACCTTCTTAAATTGATCATATGATGTTTCCCAAATTTCTTGTATTTCTCAATGGTAAGAGGAGCAAGCTCTGTGGGGGCACAAGGCTCCAAGGTTTTTCTTTGCTGAGGCAGCAGATTGTGGTGTAGCTGTACACCTGTGTAGGACCCTTGACTGGGCTGCCTGAGTAGGGAAGCAGTAATCTGTGCAAACATGTTGCCCTTCAAGGAGTAGAGAAATTAAGCCCAGGCAGAGTTCCAGCATATTTGGACCTTGCTGCTAAATGTTAGGGATGAGTTTGAGCATTTGCAGTGCTGTGATGTTCTTTACATGCATCTCGGAAGATTTTGTTGCTGAAATAATTTCTGGACATGCATCTCATGAGCTTACCAAATGTATACATTTTGCTGTTTTTAAAGGTATATCATGATCGTTATAGGAGTAATACCCCCTGACTTTTCTAGTGTTACTTTGGTTTTGATTCACTGGCTGGTGAATCACTCACTTCTGCCCTTTTCATTTTGTTGGTTTGAAATAATAATCCAACCAGCTGAGCTGTTCACTTGCCTATGGATACAATACCTCAGACTTGGTTCTAGGTCTGTTGCAACTGCACCACTGTGCAGGCAACATAGCTTCAGATATGATTTATAAAAAAATTACTTAGTCAAGTGAGGCTCTAGTCAGCCTAAAGCTCATTTACCTCAGGGCTGTTGGAGTAGTTGCATGTTTTCTTTAATGTAGAGAGAATTCTTCATTCTTATTATAATCTGTGACAGTGAGGCTTTTTTTCCTGGAATTCCTACTTTGACAAATTTCTTTGCAGATATCTATACATGGAAATTGTAGGTAAAAAATATATTAAAGTTTGAACTAGAAGAAATAATAACATAAAGTATTTAGAAGCAAAGCTTTGCTACTTTAGTATTTGGGATAAGGGCATTTAGCATTTTTGATTGGAAATATTTTTCCCTCTTCTTTCTAGAAATAAGATTGATCTACAGCCAGGTCAAAACGTACTGAAACTCATACAGGATTGTTTTGAAAGTAAGTTCTTATTTGGTGTTTGCTTGATTTGCTGATACAAGAAAAAAATTATTTTCTTCCTTGTGTTATTTAGTGGTAAGTACATAGAAATAAAAAATACGGATAAAATGGAAAAAAAATAGTATTTCTCAGGGTTTTTAAGAACAGCCCCTTCTCAGCTTTTTAAAACTGTATCTTAGCTGTCTTATAATCGCTTTCTCAAGCAGCTGATTCCTTTCTTGTTTGGATTTACATGACCTTAGTGAGCCTTAGAACTTGTTAGAATAAATAAAACCTGGACAATTCCAAGATTCCCATATTTACTGTTTTTTTCTTCATAGATTGCAGCAGTGATCTTACAACAAACTCTCCAAATTGCTCAAGCTTTGTTTCGAAAACTGAGAAGAGGACTTCAAAATGGAGACAAAGTGTAAGCTCTGTCAGTGTCATAGTGTAGCACTGGATACAGGTTTATGTGGGTACAAGTTCAGTTCTGTAGCATTTAGTTCTCTATGAGCACCTGTAAAAGTATGTAGGCTATAATTTAATGATCTATAATAGTTGTTGAAAATGTGGATTTTTTTCTTAGCTTATTGTGCTCTAATAGTAAATATTCTATAAGTTATTATTTAGTAGCTTTTTTCCTTGAGTTTTTACTAATGAAAGCTTCTTCAGCTTTTTGTCCAGGATAGTTAAATTTCTCACGGTCTCTGGCTGAAGCATGCCTTGTTACTGGTGGTGGGTATGGCTGTCTTGGAACCCACTGGAGTTGGTTGTGGTCACTTTGCCAGATATATGGACACAGTTCTTAGCTATCAGATGGGCAGTAAAATTTAAAGGGGATTAATCTAGAAAAGCAGCTGGTTAAGTCCTGATAATTGTTGGTACAATAACTTCATATGTCTGTAACTTTGTTGATGAGTGGAAACAAGGTAAAGGCCTTGTTAATGTGCTGCCTGAGAGGATGATGCCAATAATCTAGACTGTATATTTAGTTTTAATATTTTGATTTTACTTTTTTCTTTTAAATAGGATAGTCCATTAATGGTAGGGTATAGAACGTGCAGCCTTATAATGGTGTTTGTTTAATTCAGTCTGATGTTAGAATATAATCTGAAATAAATTCTTGCTAAACCTCAGCCTATCTTAATAAACAGTAAATAAATAGTTTAATTCATTTTAATGACAGTAATAAGTAG